CATAACCTGCATCACAGGCCCTCGAGATCCTTGAAATGGTTAGTATGATATGTCATGTTATGATGTTATGATGTGTATGCTATGCATCAAGCAAAAATGCAGGGTAAGAAACCAATTTATTGGATTTATACAAACAAGGTCTTACAGGGAATACAAACAAAGCCCTACAATGAGTTCAAATTGTTAGGAAAAGAAAGCAAAGAAGTCACACAAGTAGCCTTAGGTTTAGACTTGAATGGATTCCATAGGTAAGTACCCTCTTGAAGTTTAGTTGGTTTCAAGCCTGTCTAAGAAAAGTAATTGGATTCTAAGGATTCTCAATATCACTGATCATCCTTTATCGGGCATTGTTTCAGCTCAGGCAATCTTTTCTTGCGGCCAAAATATCCCGAAAGTCTGATCTCAATGAGTGTAGCGTCGAGTATCAACTAATCCTCAACTTTATACCGAGGCCGGCTATCTCACTACTTTCTAATGGCCAAGTTTGTTCAACTACAGTTTCTAAGATCCGTTAGTGTTTCATGACACCACGCGACGGCCCCGTATTCTCCTCGTTTCAACACGAAGGATACCAGTACCAACCAAAGTGTCACACCAACACAACCATCACTTAAACCATATCGTTCTACACCGTACAGTCTCCACGATTTATTGTTGTTTACCTAAAAAGTGTCTTCAGATCCGGGTGTAGGATCTTCAACAATACCCAAGCAAAAACCCTTAAAGATAAGCAGGCAAAACAAACAAGAAAGAAATTTAAAAATGATCTATATCCTAAGGTAAACCCCACTTTATTAATTCTCCCCAGCAGAGTCGCCAGTTATGTGATACGGTGGCAGAACTGACTGTTATACTGGTTTGCATTTTTGTTCGCAAATGTCGCAGTAAGCAAGAGTCGCCACCGACTTTTCTTTTATCCAACAAAGGAAAGGGTGAAAAGAACAGCAAAAAGACCTTTCGAGAGTTTTTTGAGTAAGCGGGGTAGATTATGGAAAGGGAAGGTGTTAGCACCCTTTCTATCAGTAGTTATCTACGGGCTCTTAGATGCTAGCTCATGTTTTTAAAATTGCTTGTGCTTTGTGTGTTTTGAAAATGCCTTAGTGCGACGATTCGCTTTGTGATAACTCTTGTATCAGTCCTCAAGAGCGTTGACAAGGCGAATATTTTTGAAAGTGTTTTGAAATGTTTTTGTGTAGGTGCAAAAAGTTGTTTTGAGCAAGCATCTAAGAACTTATCTACTTATACTCGAAAATGTCATTCTTTTCTCCCTATCCTTTAGACAATGCTATCCTACTATTAGTGAGTAGGTAGCCCTATCGTTTGATATATGAGGGACAAGCGCGGGTCATCGTTATGGTCATAGAAGGCAACATATAGGGATACCTTAGCAGTTCGAAGGGATTGTCATCATATATTCATAGGCAACATCGAGGGACAAGATCATTTCTTGTTGGCAACTCGAGGGACATTAAGGGACTATGATCTTTATAATGAATTTAATCGAGGGTCTTTGCTAAGGGTATTCTTACGTTCGAGGGACATGACCATTGTTTTCTGAGGCAACCAAGTGGGGAGTACCCTGGGGGTGCAAGTGTGCAAATGATTTAATTCGATTATTTATCTTGCAATTAGGGTTTTCTATCGTTCATTTTTATCTTTCCATACAATCCTATTAATCTAAGCATTGCATAAAATATAGTAGCTGAAGGTAAAGGCGAAAATGTAAACCTAGGCTATTACAGAGCTTTGGGGCAGTTACATAATAGTGAAGAGTGCGGAAAAGAAATCCTAAAACTATTACATCCTGGAAGCAGTTAGATGATAATGATAAAAAAAAAAGGCGAGAAAAATAAAGTTACGCTATTACAGTTGAACGCGCCCCTATACACTTTATCTAGAAAAATAAAAATAAGATGAAAATAACAAAGAAAATGTTTTGGTGTTTTTTTATGAAAAAAATAAATTATGATAATTAATTAAATAAACCTAAAAAACCTAATTAACTTTAATTAATAAAAAATGTTAATTTTGAAAAAATTTAATTAAAATACCTAAATCCTAATTAGTTCGAATTAAAAAAAAAGGTTAATTTTGAAAAAAGTTAATTAAAAAAACCTAAAAACTTAATTAATTTTAATTAAAAAACAGGTTTTAGAAAAAGTTTATGTGTAATGATTAACAAAAAAAATTAAGTTTGCCAAAAATAGATATGGGAAGAAACATCAATGAAAAATAGGGTTAGAAAATACAAATAATGCAAATGTCAGGGTGGGTGTTGAACCAAAAATTAATTTAAAACCTAAAATTAAATTAAAAAACCTAAAAATCAATTATTCGAATTTATTATGAAAAATCAAAGGTTTGTGAAAAATGTTAAGTTTTATGAAAAATATTTTAAACAGAAAGAATGAAAATAGGTAAAAGGATAAATAGAAAGGAAGAAAACCAAAACCAATAGGGATGAGTGTTGAACTCACACCCTTAACCTCCTTAGGATGTCTGTCTTGCCATGCAATGGTGGTTCTTATTATCCGGCATCAGTGTTTTGTAATAACCCTGCATGGGATCCTGTATAAATCTGCAGTGTTGAATCTCATAAACACATTAAATAAATTACTAGACCATGAAATATAAAGAAAATAAATATATGAAATTTTGTAATGTTAAAACCGATATGACATGTATGAATGCTTCTACATCCTTTTGATCATGGAGATCAAAACAGCCTTACCCTTACTGGAGAAATAGTGAGATGAGGGTTTGTAACAAGGATGACAGGTTTTTAGGGTTCTTGAAGGAATTTGATATTTTGACAAAGTTGTGGCAAAGGTTTTTTTTGTGTGTCCTGTTTGTGTGAAAAGAATAAGATTATATAATGGAAATTAGAGAAAAGATATGGGCTTTGAATGTGCAATTGAGCCTCCAATAACCACAAACAATAGTGCAGATTTTTAGTCGCTTGAGTTCGTCACGTTCCAGGCTAAATTGTAGGGACTTAAGTGCAATTTTTGAAGTTGAAATATGAAAACAAAATGTAGTCGACATCGAGAAATAACTCTTGTCCAAAAATGGAGTCAATCGGATAAACGGTGAATTAGTTATGAATTTTTGAAGTATTGGCTCAGACAAACTTATTTTGGGCTCCAGTGTCAACTCTGACACGTTCTTCAATAAAAAACTGGTATTGATCGGACAGAACCCGGTCTCGACTTTGAAAGAAAAGTTGTAGATATCTGATTCAGTGACCTTGTGAAAAAGATGAGTCTGATCCGATAAAAATTGACCGAGTTATGAATTTTCGAAGTTTCAACCCAGATGAAATAATATCCAGCATTCAGGATTTTCGACGCGTCATGCGCACTTTAGAAAAAAAATGAAGGCCTTTTGGATATTGTTCGAACTCGATAGCTCCTATGAAAACGTAGCCAACTCAATTTGTGAAATTTTGGCGCCAGAACCAGCTCGATACGATGAAAATCGACCAAATTATGATTTTCTGAACATGACGCAAATAAACTTCTCTCACAAATTTTCTGTATAAAATATTTGATAAATCCGCATTTTTGAAGACCTTCTGATCGAAATTGGCTTCCAGCCGTGAGATATGAAAACGTAGATGACGTCAAGACGAAATTTTGGCCACCGAAACGGTTTCAAAACGAGCCACGATCTTTAAGTTATGAATTTTTTAGTGCGTAAAAACTGCACTTTCAGTACACTTTTTCACCATATTTCTTCGAGAAAACTCACACATTCGGAGACCTTCTTTAATGAATTGGCTCTCGAGCCGAACCTGAATTTGAGAATACGTTATCAAAGATATCTTGGCGAAAGAACACCTGAATATGACACACAAGGTTGGAGTTGTGAATCTTTGAATCCTGAATCGTTGCAAAACGGCGAACCGATCTTCAGCACGGAAAATATTCTTAGAACATCCATTGGCGAAATAAACGTCACTTGTAACCTGACGAAGCTTGCTAAATATACCTTTATTCCATAACCATAAAAACAATGATACGCGTGTATGAAAACAAAGAGGGTAAATTTTTGGGTACAACACCAACTCTCTACAATTCTACCCGTTACTACTCCTTGTCATAATTGTCAGCCTGTTTCCCACTATAATACCCCACCCAATGTGTTGTCCGGGTCCCACACTTCCATTCCAACACCTGTCCCACATGCAAACCAAGTGTTATATTCCCGTGACTCTTGCAATCTCAAACATGCGCCTCTTGTTCTCCACAATGGGCCTTCAAAGTGGGCTCAATCTTTCAACCCAACACACGAAGTTATTAACCTACCCTTGAGGACAAGGGTTTTTCTGGACCGGATAGTAGTGTTAGCAGACCCATAAGAATTAAAAACAAACCCATTTAGATGAAAGACTATGTGTCTAAATAAAATAGGTTTTTGTAGCAATCGTTGTGTTATTTTAAATTCTGTCTTTTCAGGCTAGGCCCATCTTGCTGATCCATTAGGGATCCCATCTTGTATTTAAGACATTGTTGTCTTTGAAAACTCTAGAAAATCATTCGGATCTTATTTTTATTTTTATCTTGTATTTATTCAATGATTTACTTTAGTATTGGTAGTAGCTGCTAAACTCATTTCCATCAACTAACCTCACCATTGAAGGGGAATAGAACTTGAGAGCTTGGTTCAGCAACAACGACAACAACTTAGTCGTGGGGGGCAACATTGAAGCAGAAGGGATACCATAATCCTACTGCGGCAGAAAGGCAAAGAACAGTGACACTCTAAAAAATATCAACTACATTACACTTTTCTAAGTAGGAATCTTGTGAATTGGAATTTACCATCACTTCATCAAAGAAGATTTAGATTGTGGTTTTGTCTTCATTCCATGTCTTTATCCAAAGCAATCTTGCATATATTCTAATTAAAGGACTCTACATCAATAACTTAGTACCTAAGGCTATGAGAAAAATGAGAGCAAACTGCACATAAAACTTGATAAAATCTCATGAATAACATCAACTTATAACACCAATTCTACTAAAGTGCACAAAAATAAGTGAAAGCAGTGCTGACTTGAAAATGGTAGATAATGGAATCCCATATTTACCTCTAGCAAACAAGCCTTTCAGAAATGGCCAGTAACATACTACTAGATACACACTACCCATCAACTCACCTAGTCCACACCCATTTCCACTACTAGCTTCTAAATCTAACCCCACAATTTTAACAACAAGGGCTGTCAATTGCACCAGCAAAACGGTTGTGCCAACCATAAAAGCCGGGGACTCATCAAATGTGAACCTACCAGCATCTGCATTGTCTCCGGAAGCAATAGAACCCGGTGTTTCCTTCTGTGTTATTTCAAAGATTGTATCAGATATACCTAAGAGCTTAATCATAGCACACAGAAATCCTATAAACCATACACTTGTGGATCGTATTGTAATCATTCGCTGGTTGTTCCACCAATACCTTAATGATAGCCCTTTTGATTGATACTCTTGTAATGTATGTATAGTGTAGATCACAAAAAGAGTCAAAGGAATCCATAGCCCGAATCCCTTAGGAAAGATACCGGTGTTGGTGATTACGCAATAAGCGACTAAAGCTGCATAACAAACTTCAAAGACCGAACGCAGACCCCAGTTCGTAAGCCAACAATAAGACAAGCCTGCCCTGATTTGGATTTTACCAAAGAGGATGCCCATAACAGGAGAATGCTTGCCAAAGAAGACAACAGTGAGGCCTGAAGCCCATCTCTTTTGTTGGACCATCGTAGTGAGTAAACCTCCGGGAGCGCAGCCTGTGAATGCAGTTTGATCTGGCGTACAACACTCTGATCTCCAACCTTTTCGATGCATATTCAGCCCGGTTGGTACATCCTCTGATATTGATCCATATAACCAGCCCATCTGAAGTTTCCAAAATCATCAAAGCTTAATTAACAAAATATCAATTTTGCAAATACTATATGTGAAAAAAATGTGAATGTAGCTTACCTGATTACCCCAAGAAGTGCCATTTTCGTATTCGCAATCAGATACTTGGATTGCGGAATCAATAAAACTGGAAGGACTTATACCATTACTGGTAGAATAATCACTCCCTTCAAAAGCATGTGTTACTGATTTGACAAACTCATTTGAACTACCAAATTGCTTTATCGATGCCTTTTCTGATAATTTTCCTATTACAAATACAAATCAATAAGTGAGTTTTTTAGTACCATATAGGAATCAACTATTACTAACTAGTGACATTAATACACTATCCTTATATAAAATAACTCAACTAGAGCGGTTTCATGTTTTTTCAGGCCTCATGTAGGTTAATCGCAATTTAACAATGACAAAACAAATAGAGGCTCAATTTAACCACGATTTAACCGTGACAAATTTTGGGCTCTGTGCGATAGCCCGTCTTGTACGCCCTCAAAGACGGCTCTAAACTCAACCATATTGGAATTGAACTGTTAATTTAGGAGAATGAATGAGATAATAAAAATGAAGATATACAATAAACAGGGACCTTTTTTTCCATAATGATTTTCATGAGGATCAAGACCATAAATAGCATTTCTTCTATGGAAGGTGTTTGTTCCTCCATAGTAAGGTCCTTGAAGTCCTCCCATGCCCCTTATTATGTACTGCATTAACCAAAACAAAACTAGTTTGTGAACACAAAAGTTCATAAAGAGGTATAAAGTGAGAGATGCATTTGAGTTTGAGAAGAAACCTCAAATGCAGCCACCCATTGATTTCCAAAAGGGTCATCTTTTATTCCATCATAAAATTGTTGGAAACATTGAACAAAAGCAACATCTTTTCCCTTCTTAGAATCCATCAAAATGCACACAGCATGTTGAATAATCTTGGGATTGCTAACAACCATGTCACAGTCTACATTCAACATAAAGGGCGCATTCGTCATCAACCCAGAGACTCTTGTCTGCAAATTTAAATCAAGAAGGATGATAATGGATACCAAAAACACAAGAATTAGTATTTGGTCAGCAAAATTACCAACACATTCATAGCTCCGGCTTTGTAATTGTGTTCATAATTTGGCTTCTTCTCTCTCGATACATAGATTAAGTGAGGCAGTCCATCAGGAAGATCATCCTTATTCTCCGATATAACCTATAAACACGCAATGCAAGTCTTTTTCAAATTCAATATAATTCAAGTGTGAGTAGTTAGTCTTACACAATTCGGAAAGAGTTAATTCAAGTACGAGTAATTTTACAGCTCTATTGATTACCTTAACTATACTTGGATGATTTCTTTTTTCAGTATTCAAGAACACTGCAAACTCCCCCTCAAATTTTAATGACAACGAATTTCGCGTCACATCTTCAACTCTTCGGCTAAGATTGTCATACATATCCTGCAACAAAACACAACAGACAAAGACAAACCATGTTTTCGGTCCATGGTACTTATCCAAAAACATGTATCAAATATCAACCATGGCAGGGTAATATGGTTTTACATTGCTTACTTTCATTTGTAACCATTCTTGTTTGAATTCCGATGAACCTTCTTCACTTTTGGTAACTTGAGAAAAATATCTAAAAGGTGCTCTAACTTGAATATTATACTTTTTACAAAAAGGTACCCAAAACTTGGCAAATTTTGCAGCTTCAACAAGACCATAGAAGGTAAAAACTGAACACGCATCATCAGAAACATAACAAGCTAGTTTATTAGCTGGATAATCAAGTGCCAAAAGAGACAACACAGTGTTGAATGTTATTATGGGTGGTTCTAGAACATGATCTGCTGTTGTCACAAACAAGTCTACACGTGGAAGCTCTTGTACTCTACTAGGATTAAAAAAACAACAAAAAAACAACAAAAAAACAAAAAGTTAGCATATTATATTACACAATCAAATTAGAGTATTGATGTTATAGTAAAAAAAGTGCAAAGATATGAATATATTTGGTTTTTGATTACACACTGTTGAAGGAGACGATTCGGGTGAGTTTTGGTGACAGCAGGACACCATTTGGCGTTGAGAATAACAATCCAAGTGAAAGTGAACCAAGATTCGCATGAGAAAGCAAGTAACCATGGAATTGTGAAGGTGTTGTTGATGATGGAGAAAAGACGAAAAGATAGAAGAGAGAATAAGAGGAGTAAAATCAAGATGTCTATCGCTCTTTGAAATTTTCGTTTGATCCAAATTTTGTCGTAAAGTGGGAGGTTTTCTTGGTTTGCCATAGCGCAAATGATTGAAATGAAAACTGATTATTTAATAGGAATTTTATTGTGTTCGAGACTCTGAGGTTTCAAAATGCTGGTTGATTATTCTATTATCATACTTAGGAGTGGAAATAGGCTAGGTTGAATTAGGCTTTATCAAGTCTGATCCTAGATCTGGTTAGCCTCTTAACCTACATAAAAATCTATTATTTTAAACATATGTAAATAAACAATTCAAATAATGTTTAAATAGATTAACAAACTTTGCATTGATTTATTTTAACTTATTTATTAGCATAAGTTTTGTAAGACTAATTGAATAAGAGTACTTGTGAAAACTGTTAGAATTAAATTAGATTTAATTAGATATTCATTTATATTTAGGAATATCTTTTAGATTGTTTATATCTTTGTTAGAAGATATAAATCTTAGATCTTCTTATATCTTTGTAGAAGATATATTTTAGATTTAGTTTGTGTGTATAAATAGCCTAGTGGAGTAGGTTATTGTAATTCATTGTAAATCCTTATTTTGAAGTTATCAGTAAATATTCTTTTTGCCTTTTATCTTCTTTGTGCTCCAACAATTGGTATCTAGAGCTCCTGGTTAGAAACTCTGAAATTTGGGAAACATTGTTTTTTTTCCATTGAGTTTCTGCGTAAATCGCACAAGGTAGAAGATGAATGGAAACGGCGATATTCATTCCAAGCTTCCAATATTTGATGGCAAAAACTGAAATCGTTGGAAGATCCAAATGCGCGTGTTATTTGGTTCTCAAGATGTGTTAGATCTTGTCACTGATGGCTATAATTTGTTAGAAGCAGACGCAACAGAGGACCAGAAGATAGCACAGAAGGTGCTAAGGAAGAAAGATCAGAAAGCGTTGTTCTACATCCATCAATGTGTGGATGTGAATGTGTTTGAGAAGATTGCTGATTCTGAAACAGCAAAGGCTGCGTGGGACACACTGGTCAGATGTTACGGTGGTGACGCATCAGTGAAGAAGGTGAAGCTTCAGTCTCTCAGAAAGCAATATGAGAATCTCAACATGAAGGACAATGAGAAGGTTTCTGAATACATCTCTAGAGTGATTCTGATTACTAATGAGATGAAAGCTTGTGGAGAAACTCTGTCTGAACAAGTAATTATTGAGAAGATCTTGAGATCTTTAACTTCTCAGTTTGATTACATTGTTGTAGCAATTGAACATTCCAAAGATCTGAGCACCATGAGAGTTGAAGAGCTGCAAAGTAGTCTAGAGGCGCATGAGTTGCGTATGACTGCAAGAACTTCTGAGAGGGAAGTAGAGCAGCAGGCTCTGAAAGTAACTTCTGGTAAGAAGCATCAGAAGCAGACCTGGTCAGAAGCCAGGAAGAGAACTAATGGTGGTCAAAAGTCAAAAGCTTCAAACTCTGATAGGCAGAAGAATGTCCAGAAGAGAAAGGAGAAGTCTGACAAAAAGAATGTTCAGTGTTACTGTTGTAAGAACTTTGGTCACTATGCCAGAGATTGCTGGTCCAATAAAGAAAGGAAGTCAGAAGAAGCAAATATAGCAAGAGGAGACTCTGATGATAAACCTGTGCTATTGTTAGCTTCTGAACCCGATGATCTGAATTCATCAGAATGGTGGTATATGGACACAGGGTGTTCAAACCATCTTACTGGAAACAAGAAGTGGTTGGTTGACTTTGACTATGGAAAGAGTATAAAGATTAGATGTGCTGATGACAAATACCTCAATGCAGAAGGTATGGGAAATGTCAGAATCATTCTAAACAATGGGAAAGCAGCTGTGATCCAGAATGTTTGGTATGTACCTGGCATGAAAAGCAATCTGATGAGTGTGGGACAACTGGTTGAGAAAGGTTTTTCAGTTATCATGAAGGACAATCTTCTGAAGCTGTATGACCGTAATCAGAAGCTTATTATGGAGTCAGAACAGGGAAGGAACAGAACATTCAAGGTGAATGTTAGAACTGCAGACTCTAAATGTCTTAGTGCAACAAGTGTTGTCAAGGAGAGTGAGCTGTGGCACAAAAGATTTGGTCATCTGAATCTCAAAAGTTTAGGGCATCTGAAATCAAAGAATCTGATACATGGAATTTCTACAATTAAGAATCCTGAAAAGTCATGCAAGGTGTGCATGGAAAGGAAGCAACCAAGATTACCCTTTGCATCAGAAGTAGCTCCAAGAGTAAAACATGCCTTGGGAGTAGTACATTCTGATGTGTGCGGTCCGTTTCCAGTAGCATCGACTGGAGGGAATAAATATTTTGTGTCATTTGTTGATGAGTTCACCAGAATGACATGGGTATCTCTCATAAAGTTAAAACACGACGTATTTGCAGAATTCAAAAAGTTCAGACTGAAGGCTGAGAATCAGAGTGGCCAAACTCTGAAAATTCTTAGAACTGATGGTGGTGGTGAGTATAACTCCACGGAATTCAAAAGTTTCTGTGAGGAGAAGGGAATTGAGCATGAGGTTACTGCTCCATATACTCCTCAACATAATGGTCTTGCTGAAAGAAGAAATCGTACTTTGCTAGATATGGTGAGAAGCATGCTGAAAGAGAAGAAGCTTCCTCATACTCTGTGGGGAGAACCTATTGCAACTGCATGTTATGTGCTCAACAAATGTCCAACAAAGAAATTAAAGGAAATAGTTCCTATTCAGAAGTGGACTGGAGATAAGCAAAGTGTTAGTCATCTGAAGGTATTTGGTTCTGTATGTTACAAACATGTCCCAGAAGCCAGAAGACAAAAGCTAGATGATAGAAGTAAAGTGATGTTGCTGGTGGGGTATCACAGTATAGGCTCGTACAAACTTTATTGTCTAGAAACTAACAAAGTTGAGTTCAACAGAGACGTCATTGTAGAGGAATCAGAAGTTTGGAATTGGGAAAAATCTCGTCCTGACTCTGATGACAGAACTTCTGAAGAAAGGTCAGAAATACATGTTTCTGAAGCTAGTGAAGACTCTGACTCTGAAGAAGATACAAAAGGAGAAGATGATTCTGACTCTGACTCCGATGGTGATCCAGACTCTGAAGACAGTTAAGGTTCTGGAGAAAGTCCAATTGTTGAAGCAAGTGCTTCTGAAGGGGAAAGTGTTAGAACAAGATTGGTTCTGATCATATCTCAGAATTTTAATGATAACAATAAAATATATTTTATATAATTGATACTCTGATGAGCATATTTATTTGTTTCAGATAATGTTATGACTGAAGTATTTTCTTAGATGAAAATCATTTTTGACGTGCTGAGCTGAAAATAAATGAAGAAGTTCTTTGATGAAAGAACTATTTGTTTTAGTGCAAGTTCTGAAGCTGACTCTGATAAGAAACTATTTAATGCATCTTCTAAAGCTTAGCAAGTTTCCATGTAAACCATGTTCAGAAGTATTCTGCAAGCAAGCGCTGATTAGAAGTTTTGCAAGCATATTCTGAAGCAAGTTGTGAAGCTAGTTCTGATAGAATAAAGAAGCTAACAAGTCTTGTCAAGTTTCAGGAAACATGCTCTGACAAGTGTCGTTTGTTCATTTAATGCAAAGACGGCTACATGCACTCAAGTGTCTACGTTAGTTCATTGGAAAATGTAATACTGCAAGCAAACACGCAAACATTAATTGCTCTCCACTTTTGAAGGTAGTAACGATCGTTTTCTTCATGCTATAAATAGAAGATCATTTATTGCAAGCCAACAACCCAACTATGTGAAAATATTCTGCTGCTCACAAATTATTTTACAAACACTTTATGCAAAACTAATCTTAGTGAAAAATCACAGTTTGTGATATAGCTTTTTAAGAATCAATTTTTTTCACTATCTGTAAAGATTTAATTCTTGTATTTGTTCCTTGAGAGACCCAGTTTGGTCAGATTTCTCAAGAAGGCTAGGACTAGTTTGAGTCTTAGTAGTGTTAGTCACTTGTAAGTTTACTTGTGTTTTGAATTGTTAGTCACAACAGTTTGGTTGTGTGATTGTAATCTATTTAATTATAGTGAATTAAGTCCTTGTTGAGAAAGGCGAAATCACCTTGGCGGGTGGACTGGAGTAGTTTGAGTTCAAACGAACCAGGATAAAAACAACTGTGTCTTTACATTATTGTTGAGCATTTAAGAAAAAGAAAAAGAGAAATTATTCACCACCCCTTCTAAGTGTTTTCTCACCCTTCAATTGGTATCATAGCTTGACTCTGAGCACAAACACTTAACTGTGTCCGGAAAAGATCCAGAAAGAAAACACAATGGCAACTGAACAAAACAACAATAACTACACCAAACCTCCAGTGTTTGATGGAGAAGATTTTGATTATTGGAAAGATAGACTAGAAAATTTCTTTCTAGGTCATGATAGTGATTTATGGGATATAGTCTTGGATGGTTACACACATCCTATAGACTCAGAAGGAAACAAGATTGATAGAAAAAATATGGATAGACAACAAAAAGCTGATTTAAAAAATCACCACAAAGGTAGAAATATTTTTCTAAATGCTATCTCTAAAATGGAATATGAGAAGATCACAAATAGAGATACAACACATGATATGTTTGAGTCTCTCAAAATTACTCATGAAGGAAACGCTCAAGTGAAGGAGTCTAAAGCTCTGGCTCTTATCCATAAGTATGAAGCCTTCAAAGTAGAAGAAAGTGAATCTATAGAAGCTATGTTCTCAAGGTTCCAAACTATGATCGCTGGCCTGAGAGTTCTGAACAAGGGATACACTAAGGCAGACCACGTTAAGAAGATCATCATAAGTTTACCCAGAAGATGGGCACCTATGGTCACTGCTTTCAAAGTATCAAAAGATCTGAACAACGTGTCTATTGAAGAACTCATCAATGCTTTAAGAAGTCATGAGATAGAACTTGATGAGCACGAGCCTCAGAAGAAAGGTAAGTCTGTTGCCCTTAAATCAATTAAAAAATATGAAACTAACGCTTTTCAGGCTAAAGAAGGAAACTCTGAAGAATCTGCGTCAGAAGAAGATGAACTATCCTTGCTCTCTAGA